CTGACCGCGTTTATTTTAAAGATAGGAAAGATTTAAGTGGATTGATTAAATTAATATATTTCATATTTTTTTAATAGCATACCTAATGAAGGCTTATAATAAATAATATGAAGTTCTAATAATATATATTTTGGTAAAATTGCTCGTTTTCATAAGTAAAATTTAATTATTTATAAAGGTTTAAAACCTGACGCATTCTTTAATTATTTGGTTGGGAAAAATTAAAATAGTGACTAATGTGCATTAAAAATAACTCAGATGTTTTTTAATCAGTTCGTTACAAACTTTTGTTAATTTTACATATAGGTAGGTATGACAAACAAATTTTTTGATACACTTAGTGTTTTGTGGTCAAAATCCTAATTTATATTTAAATTAAAATAATTAAGGTAAAATATAATTAGTGTAATTTAGTTTTAAAACGCGATTTCTCTTTTGAATTTATTAATAATTTAAACTTAATGTTGTATAAGAACTATTTTCATAGTCTACATTAATTTTTAGCTGTTAAGACCTTACTTCTATTAATTAAATTTTGCCAGTTACCTTGAATGCCTTACAAAAATAAAATTGTTAACATTATTTATATTATAAGTTTTATTGCCAAAAACTACAACTAAGTCAATATCAATAATAGTATATTATGTATCAACTTTTATAAACGCCATTTTAGTTGCGAGTTTTATTAGGACGAGCGAAGCATGCGAGCGAGTTATTAATAAAAACCAGTGTCTAGAGAAGTTTATAAAACAAGTTATCTAAGACGAAAACAAAAAAGAATTTAAAGCCAATTTTATTTGTTAAAAATTTTTCACCTTTAAACGGATTTAACCTCACTTTTTCCCAATTTATAATACCTTTAGCCCGTGACTAAAACGCCATAAAGTCACAGCTTGTCGATGTAGGAGTAGATTATTAATCTAAATAACAAAAATTAGATAAAAATTTAAAAGATGAGATACTATTGCTGCATTACCTAATTTTTTTATAAACATAATAAAAATAACTTCGATTTTTTAAAATAATTATTAAGTGAAAGTTTACTGCGACCTTGCTGGTATCAATTAAAACTTATTTAAAAATAAGGCATTTGTTGTAAAAACGTTACAAGGACGGAGGATTCTCTTTCAACTAAATATTAATTATTTTATTAAAAAACATCGTATAACAAGATATTTTTGCAAATTTATTCTGTTTTTTATAAAAATTAATTTAATAAACTTTACTTGTTTCACCCTCGCCGTTGTAAAATAGTTGTAAAATTTAATTTCAAAACTAATTAGTCAGATTCGAAAAGTTCTGATTGTGCCAGTGTCAAAACGAAAACTTCTTGATGTATTAAACTATAAAGTTGTTGGATTAAAATTTTATTATGATGACGATCTTAATCTGTTTCAATTGTTTTACGTTCCTGCAATGCCATCTAGCGCTTTTACGTGGAATTGCTTTTTAGTTTTAGTTCAAACCACTTGGTTTTTTTGTGATTTTTTTTATTTTTAAGTTTCGATTTTTATTATAAATTCTTTTGTCGTACGATAATATTTGAGGTCATGTAACAGTTATATGACGACTTTCATTTTGTACATTTTTGTTATTTGAGACGAGGAAGTCATTGGGAAATGTCATAATCTTTACCCACATTACACTGTTTTACTTAATTATTTTGTTTTTGGAAAAGGTGATTAGATAAATTTATATTTAAAATAACTTAATAGTATATTATGTATTAAGTTTGATAAACACCATTTTAATATTTAATTTAGGCACGAGCGAGTTTGTAATTAAATAAGTGCCTAGAAGAGTTTATAAACGAGTTGCATACTATACTTTTTCTACGAAAAATAATTAATTTTATCTAAAAAATGATTTAAATTAAATATTTGTATATCCGAAAATAAAATAACCATCCCAATAAACATTTTTGACGAAATTTTCACCATTAACATTGCCTGTTATTATTTTAATTAAACTTAACAATTATTGATACTTTAAAATATTAAAATAACTTCAAAATATGATGTTAAGAAAATATTTTATCCTTTGATTTTTTGTATTACTATAATTGAAAAATATTATCAAGTTGGTAATACTACGGCGAAAACAACAAACGTTCCTATAATCTTTTCAAATATTGGCGTTGAGAAACTATTTAATACTTTTTTATTTTTGTATTGAGATAATAAAATAATTTTCACATTTAGTATTATTTTACAAGAAAGGCACTTTATTTTAACGATTGTATGACATTTGACAATTGTCAACTAACTTCAGACCGTGACTAAAAACCTGTTGCTAACTTTAGCCCGTGACTAAAGCGCCATAAAGCCACAACTTGTCAATGTGTATTTAAAAGGTCACTTAGTGTCATGGAAACATGTACGATAAAGAGCGTTTTAAAGGTGGGAGTAAAAAAAACAGTTTAAACCTTGTTTTTATAAAAAATGCCTCTATATTGAAGGCCTAAAACTGACCAAAATAAACTAAACAGTCTTAAATATACTTGAACCATAAAAAACGTCCTAAAACTGTTTTAAATGGTCAAACTAAAAATGTTTTTTTAGAGGTAATCTTACACCGTTAATATTTGAGTTTTTATGATGAAAAAATGATTGTTGTATTAGCTTATGGTATTTGCCACGTCAAATTTACCAACCCCAAAAATAAAAATACAAAACGGGCCCGAGTAATTGTGATAAACGCAGAAAAACAAATTAACGAACATGTAGGGCAATGCATAAATTTCCAGCCAAAGCCTGAAGGGTCGTTCAATAAATATGGGGGAAAATAAAAAACCATTGAATAGATAACATCCTGTGCGAATGGAAATCATTATAAAAGCAGCTTTTTTAAATGAAAAATACAGTTTATTTATGATTTAGATGACCATTTTATTCGACCTCTCCAATAAATTTGGTTTTTGACTTTATTACGTACAGTTGCAATCAACAAAAGTGGCATTAACAATTGTTTTTCGACAACACATACTTGGCTTTGATATGGTTGACATGACTGGAGAAATGTTTGTTGGCATTACTGAATTGGTAATGACTTCACACGATTTCTTTAAAATAAGCTTATATATTACCATAATGATATGAATTAATGAAGCGGTAGTAAACGGTTTATTTTATGGTCATTATAATTTTGCTAAATCAAATTTGTAGAAAAATTAAGCTGTCAAATCCTTTAAACAACGAAGTTGACTGGTGAAAAAGCTGCGTTATCCAAAGAAAAAACAAATCTACATAAATAATTTTGTTATTCTCCTTATAAAATATACAACTCTGCGAGAATAAATAACATAACGTCTCTTGTAAGTTTTATAACTTTTCACTTCTTGCTCGAATGTCGTTTCCACCCCTGCGAAATCCATTAGGGGTAAAAACCCATAGGCTCTTGATTTATATTTTTTATATTTGTTAATTCCGCACGTGACTGAAATCTTAACAACCGTAACTATTTTGTTAGCGCCATTTCCCTCTATTCTCCTTTATTTCGTTTAAACATATTTTCAGAAAATGACATCAACGTTTCGTACACCCTTAACATTTACCTACACCTTTAATTTAAACATTAAAATATAGTTTTGGACGAGTCCAATCTAATCAGTGCCGGTCCATTTAACATTCAACGAATAGGATCAGCTAATAGTATGGGACAAAATTGAATAAATAACAATGTCAACTAGGTCGATTTTCGAGCAATGCACACCGTTGCACTGCGTTTAACGCGATTAATTTATGCTTAAGGGCGCTAATTTTCCTCAAACAACAGCTACAATACCCACATCAAATCAAGTTATATTATACTGTAATAGCGGTGTTATATTATGATAAACCATTAAAAAATACTGTGTTAATAATAATAATAATAATAATAAACTTTATTGCGAAATATATAGATACTAACACAATGGGTGTAAGCTCAGCGTAGCTGGTCTACCGCTTAAACCATAGAAAATACATACAAAATAGTATATTATCATAATATACATAATAAACTCGTAACTAAAATGGCGTTTATAAAACTTGATACATAATATTATTATGTATCAAGTTTTATAAACGCCATTTTAGTTACGAGTTTAATTAAGCACGAGCGAAGCTTGCGAGCGAGTGTTTAATAAAAACAAGTGTCTAGAGAAGTTTATAAACGAGTTGCATACTAAACTTTATCTACGACGAACACAAACCAGAATTTAAAGCAAATTTTATTTGTTAAAATTTTGACATCTGTCAACTGTCACCCGAATTTAACCTCACTTTTTCCCAATTTATAATAGCTAACTTCAGCCCGTCAATAAAACGCCATAAAGTCACAGCTCGTCAATGTAGGAGTAGATAAAATATGTTACATACAATTTACAATTTCAGGTACTTGCAAGTTGTAATAAATAACACTTAAAATTACTTTTAAAGTTAGCATTAGATTGGTTATTATTAAAAAAGTTTTCAAGTTTATTAGCAATTGAAGCAGCTAGGTACTCAAAGCATTTTTCAAATTTAACTGTTTACATTATGACAGTTTACTCTTTTTTCTAAAAGAGACCAAAGATATTCTAGTTTAGGACTACAATAGTTAAAAGGACTTAAAATCACAGCATTAGTAAGTTTCCACAGATTTAAAAGAGTAAATAGATTTAAATTTAAAATAGGCGTTTTTTAAAAGCATAGAAACATGATATTCAAAATTTAAGTGAGAATCAAAAAGTTTTTTTACATAGTCTACAAGTTTTATCACAGAGTTGTTTAATATAATATCACAGGTTTTATGGGTTGATGCAGCAACTGTTTTTTTAGGATTCAAAAGCAAACCGTTATGTTCAGACTACCTACAAACACTCAGTAGATCTTTATTTTTACAATAGCTTCACTAATGTTTCTAATGTACAACCCAATTTTTCCGACATCTAAGTTTTAATATAACATTTACTAGTTTTTATGCAAAAGTATGTGTTGAAGTGGTGATAAAATATCTAAAGTTTTTTCTTTGTATTGCAGTTAATAGAAAAAGATGAAAAACCCGCCTTCTCCGCCGCCAGTGGACGATTGCGACGATATCTTCGGCCCGCCCCGGACGTACCCCGGTGGTTATTGCCCGCCAAAAACGAGGCCTTCCATGATATCGGCAAAATACCGTCAGAAAGAGGAGCGCAGGAAAATATTGAAGATAAGCGCGAACAAGTTGAAGAAAATAGAAGACCCCGAAATCAGTTTGCACAGATCCGTTTTGATCAATAACATAATGAGGCATTTGCAGCAGGATGCTAGAGACGAGAGGTACTTTAAGAATCAACTGAACTACCCCAGGTTCGACAACGATCATTTTTTGAACATCAAAAACGAGTTTATCAAGAACGAAAGCAAGAGTAGTGTTTTCGACGATCAGGACTTCGACACCAAGGTGGCGTTGGAAATGAATAAGGCCAAGGCCGTCTTGATCGAGGAGAATCTCAGTTTGACCGTGCCGGAAGTCCATCTGGAAGCGGAAAACAACAATCAAGTAACATCACCGAAAAGAACGTTTGACGACGACTGTGACGTACAGGACGTTTTATCTCAGTGCTACATGCCGCCGACTCCGCGCATGCTCACCAAAATCGACGACAGCGAGGACGACGAGCCTGTGACGAAGAAGCCGCGTCTTCAGGAGGAGGACGAAACCACGACGAGTAACAAAAGTGACGTTTTTTGTGTGAACGAGTACATCAACAATAGCGCCGAGGCGCGCCTCCGGTTTGTCAAGACGAGTCAAACGATGGACACGACGGACAATTTTAGTTGCGGACACGCGTCCATGTTCAGTGACCTGCAAAACAACGTCTACCATAATTTAATCGCTTCCCTCGAAACGTAGCCCTACAGCAAATTATCCTAGACATGAATTTTATATCAATTATTTATGTGATAACGTTATTCAGTTACTTAGAGATGAGTTTTTTACGAACTTGTTACTTTTTTGTACTTTCCTTTCTCGGTTTATTTATTGTTTTTCCATCCATTTTTTGTTTGTTGTATTTATCTTACCATCCACCTAAGCTTAGACGGGTATTCACTAAGTATACCATGGCATTCTTAAAACCAAGGCTTTTTGACAGATAACACTGCCCCACATAAAGGCCGTATTACAGCCGGCAATTCCTCTTGCAGCAATTTTTCTTGCAGAAATTATTCTTGCCATCAAGTTTTCAAGGCCGTATTGCTTGTTGTTTTACAGTCAGCAATGGCAAGACAACTTGCTGTTTATTACCGTGCTACCAACCGAAGAAAAAAATGCGATTTTGTAAACACTTTGTTTATTTGTTATTTAGTAGAGATATTTAAAAATTATTGAGTAAAATAGATACTAGAACTTTGAACAAAATGTCAATCATAAAACAAATAACCTTAAACTGTTTAAGTCAAACAGCGTCTCTTTAGGGAATTTGTAGTAGGGTTGGTAACATAAAAGTTACCAGGTTTCACCCCAGAATTGCCGTGAAACGGCAATAAAAATCCATCCGGACCGATTTTCGGCAATTGCAAGAGATTCGTCGAAATGTCTCAACCGCGCATGCGTATGGCAATTTTCATTGCAATTGCCAAAAGAATTGCCGGCTGTAATACGGCCTTAAAAAATGCATAATCAAATTTTTGGTACAATATTGTTTTAAAACAGTAGCTGAATATTAGTAAAAAAATTATCATGGACCTGGTTTTGATTAAAAGCTTTAATTTTTTATATTTACTAATATTAGTCTCTGTTAAAAGGCGATTTTTATAAAAAAAACTCCGTCCTTCCCTTAATTTACATCAAAAGTAAATTACAAAATTATATACCTATTTAAAAAAAACTTAAATTTATTGTTTAGAAATAATAGTCAAAATATATATTTAACGTTATAATTTCTTCGTGATTATCGTCCAATAATTATTATAATATAATGATTAAAAACTAGAGCTAAAATATTGATAAAGTATTAAATTTGTGGGGCTGTGTAACCTGAGATTTTTTCACACCTATTACTTATATTAAGTACTTACTACTAAGGGCAGCTAAATTACCTAATTTTGGGCCTATTTTTATGAAAAAATCGCCTATATAATTTAAAGACTGTTTCGCAACGAATTTCTCATAATTTCTCATTTAAGAATGCTATGTTATACTTTCCATAAAAAGTTGAAGATGGGACTGACTTAATTTACTTCATGCACAAGTATATATCTCCAAAAAATTTTTTTTGCCAAAAAATCGTTAGTAATTTGCCAATCAAAATAATAATAATAATAATAATTTCGCTCTCTACAATGTACTATAACTACGTTCTTTTATCGTTAAAACAATTACACAATTACTAAGAGTAGAGATCAATTATGTCTGTGATATTATAAACAAATGTGTTAATATGTAATAAATAGAGAGCCTGTATGTATATGATAAATTGTACCCAGAACAAATAAACATTTTTGCTTGTATAAAAATTGCTCTTGTAATTAAATAAATGTATATGTATTGTAGATTTTAAAAGGTTGTATACTATGTAAAGACTTCTTTCAAATTTCTTATACTTTAGACGCTATAAACAAATCATTAAATGTGTATTATGTACGTTATCCAGGTACCTACATACAAACAAAAATATATTTTTGTTTTATATTTGAATTAAAAACAATTATTTCTTTATATTTATACTTATAACAATACTTTTTTAGTATCCGTCAAATTGTAAATGCAGCATATTATTTTAAAGGGTTTTTTCCTTATTCAATTAATAGTTTTTTTTCATTTAATGTAAATATGTATATATTTGGATAATATCTCCTGTGTACCACTTGTAAATTTGTATAAGGGTGTTTTTAGCCCTCTGGGTCCAGTTAAATATTGTAAATATGCAGCCGCTTCATAGTCTAGCATGTAGATGCATTTTTGAAATTTGTGTCTTCTGTGGCTTAAACAAATAGCATATTTTTCCTTTCCTGGGGTCCCCCAAGGATCCATATCGAGTCCATGCAGCTTCACCACCTAGATTTAATGAAATTTTTGACAAGCGATGATGTTTTTTACGAAAACTTTTTGAATTTTTATATACCCGCCAAATGACCCTATTTTTGATGTAGTACCTATACATCAACCCTCAATCCCCCGCCCTCTTTTTATTTGATTATTATTACAAAATTAGTATTGCAATTTGAAAACTTTAAACTAAGGCACTGTAACTGTGTTTATTGTACCATTTTATTTTATTATAATTATGGTCACAAGATGTTATGTAATGCTGTTTAGTTATTTATTTTTATATTACGTGGGTTATGCCATATTTATTCAATTCTTAAATAAATTTTGTATATATTCCTAGTTTAATTAATATTTTTTTTAGTATTTGTTTATTTTTGTAAATTACTTAATCGTTTTAAATTAAATATACATATTGTTTATCTTGAAAAAAGTTTCTTTAAAAAAATATATAATTATAGTATTTTTTATAGTTTTTTGTTAACATACCAAATCCGTAATGTTACCGCAATTACCATTTTCAATATTAAAATTATTATCTTAATGAATATATGTACGTTAGGCATTATATAATGTAATGCAATAAAGTACCTGAAAAATTGCGACAAGTGTTTGTCTTTTTACCTACCGCATTTTCCCGCTCAGTTAACATAAGTGGCATTTAACTTACCCGCCCTTAAATATCCTGCCATCTTGTTAAAATTACCAACTGAAACATAAACGCGGTAAGTATGCTTAATAATTCAGAAAATATTAAAGAAATTCGCAGCCTTAAACTCCAATTAAAGTCGATTTAATTATTGTGAAAGCTTAGTTTTTAAATAACTAAATGCTTGTAATAAGCACATTTATGCCTAAAATTTAAAATATAAAGTTTTTGTTAAGTAATTGCTATTTTGCATGTAATTTTAAAATTTGGTGTTACATCCCACCTGTAAATGTAAATGTTAAATAAAATGCCCTTTTTCTCTTCAAAATATTTGCTGGACAATTATTGAAATGTAAAATGTTATTTATTAAATAAATTTCTTCTAAAACATAAAAGAAAATAATCGTTCCAAAATTATGCTTAGTAAAGTTAAATTTTACAGTCTTCAAATGGGTGAGAAAGCGAGTGTTTTGCGGCAAAAATAACCACAAATAGCTAGGCAGTTTTTTAAGTTTTCAGAGAGCGCTGCAATAATTTGATAAATTAAAATAAACTTTAAAGATTTTTATTTAAGTTTTTTGTAAAATAATCGGCTTAATAAAATCTAATATTAGCTAATTAAAATTTTATTTTAATTAGGTTACACTGTTTAAAATATCTGTGGAATTATGGTTGAAAATGTTATATACAGCAAACACCAAAACGGTGTTTATCTAAAAATATTTGAGATATGCACCTACACAGAAAAAAAGGAATAGTTCATTTAACTATATTAATTTAGTTGACCCATAAGTATTTATTTAAATCAACTGTGGGAAGGTTAATATAAACAAAGATTAGTTTGACGATACTAAACCAGATAGTTATTTTTTTTTAAATTGGTTAAATTATCCAGAAAACTTTAGTGAAACCAACCCACTGTATGGTTCAGTTTACTAAATATGTTGTTTGTAAAGCACGCTGTTAAAACGATTAAAACAATTTGCCGTGCATTCCTGGTATGTACCGATCACGTGATGTTCTTAAATCTCGCCTCTGTTGACTTACATGAAGAGTATATAAGCTCAGGTAGTCCTTTGCTTTGGTGTGACACTACAAGTTGTTCAATACTAAAGAGATCTTAAATAGGTGGAAAAAGCTGTTAATACTTGAAGTATTTTAAGTTGGTGGAACGCACTAAAAACATATATAGCGAGTTAAAGTTTCAATTTTCTGGTAATATACTGGTAATGCGTCAAGGAACTTCCTGTTTCCTTTTTACTGTGTAGTATGATTTAATTTGACCAAAAACACATAATATTTAACACTGAAAAGGAGTTCAATTTACACCAGGTAAAATTTGTTTTAATACTGTGTGAAAGTTAAATTTACACTATTTTAGTATTTGAATTTACACTGGACCAACGAACCATATTTAACACCATTTTGGTTTGTATCGATATAGACCATGTATGGTGTTAATTTGATGTTAAAATGGTCATGGAATTTTGAACATTGTACTATCAGATATAGATTACCGCAGAAAGTCAATCTAACTGTGTGTAGTTGTTTCTGCGGGCTGTTTAAACAGCAAATTTGCCTACTATTCACAAGGATGAGGTTTGCGTCTCGAGCCGCCAGGCGAAAGAAGTACGTTATTCAAGGTTGATAACAAAAATTTATTATAACCTCCCCAAGTAGCATTATAGTAACGAAAACTGATCGCGACTTCAAATAAGTGGCAATTACGTTAAAATAAGTAAATCTACGATACAGTTGAAATATTTTTATATTATATTAGTATAGTTGTAATCATGGACTTGGCACCAGCAGAATATATGTATATCAGTCTGGTTTCTAAATGACCACTTTTTATACCACCTTAAAGTTGTCTAAACTTAAAGTGGATTATAAATAGTAACGGTAACCAAACCACATCACTTAAGTAATACTTTAAAGTGGTAGTAGTAGTAAAGTAAGTATACCAGTTTTGGCAACGTGGAATGTGGCAGAACTTGATTAAACAATTGCGGTGGTAATTGCCACGTTCTTGCTACACGCTTGTGATTTCCACGTTTTACATAGTTCCCTTTTTCAAAAGCAGACATGTTTACAAATACACGACATTGTATGAAAAAAAATGTGTAGTTTTAAACAAATAATTCTGGTTAAGATAATAATTATTATGGGTTTCAGGAGACCAGAAATATTAAAGACCTCTAGATAAATAATTTTTAGATCCGGTTTTATATATTTTTTTCATTAGCACATATTTCAACGGGACGTGCTTATATTTTGAGCTATGACACCCATGTTTGTAAAGTAAAATATTATTCGTGTTAATTTTATGTCTTTGCATTATTTTAATTCTAGTTATTATTTGCAAGTTGTATTCTTACTTTATAATAAATTTAGTATTCAGTGTTTAATGTCCAGTTTCAGGAAAAGCAAAGATAATAAAATAAATAATATGCTGGACAGAGACGAGGATATAAAGTAAAGAGTAGTAAAGTTTTGCTTAAGTTTTGGCCACTATACCTCCACGTTATAGTAACGTAATCACAACGTGGTAGAAAA